ACGCGACAGGGACGGGAGAGCTGGGCCTCCGTGGGCGGTCCACGGACGCGGCACCGGGGTCTTTGCAGAGCCCAGGTCCAGGCCCTGTCCTCGTCCCCATCCCCGTCCCCGACTGGCCTTCCCGACGGCCCCGCGCCCATGGACGTGGGGCGTCCTGCCTCCCTGCTCCAGGAGAGGCTGAGGCCCTCCCCGCTGCCGCCTCCCTCTCCCCGAGGGCTGGGCCACCTCTGGGTGGTGGAGGGGCCCTGGGTCCCTCCCGGTGTCTCAGGTGCTGTCCTAGGTGCCGGTCAGCAGCCCCGCAGGGGGAGCGCTTCCAGGGAGGCCAGGGCTAAGGGCAGGCAGGGTGGGCTAGCCCAGGGGAGGGGAGGAGGGCCCAGGATGGCGGAGGGAGCTGGGCAGAGCGGGTGTGAGCCCTGGGGAGGGGCAAGCTGGGCGGCCAGAGAGCGAGCTAGGTGGAGCTGCAGGGCTAGGGGGCTCCTGCCTGCCTGCATTGGGCCCCCAGGGGGACCCAAGACGGCTGGGCTTCTGTCCCATGAGCCCCCGCTTTGGGTCCGGGGTTAAAAGCTCTGCAGCCTGCTGGGCTGGGACCCGGGGAGGGTGTGGCAGGCCCTGCCCTCTGTCCAGGGCTTTCCTGGGGTCCCCAGCTGGGCGTACCCTGTCCCGCAGGTGGCCACAGAGGGTGTCGCAGGGAGGCCGGCCTGGGCAGTGGTGGAGAGGCAGGGGTGTCAGCGAGGCAGGAGATGCCCTCCCGCCACCCCTGCAGCTCTGCCCCCAGGCAGTCCTGGAGAAGCACCTCACTCCAGCCCGGCTGTGCCCCTTCCGGCCAGTCTCTGGTCCCCAAGGCCAGGCACAATGAGCACCAGGAGGCCAAGGCGGAGGGTGGGGACATCTGCCTGTCAGGGTGAGAAGCAGAGGCCAGGGCTGCACCTCTCCGTGCCCCTCCTCCCCATGGTGGGGACAGCATGGGGCCCCTGCCTCCGGGCCGGTGCAACCATGGTGAGCGTGGCCCAGCCTGGTGCCTGCACCGGGACACCTGTGCTGCCGGTTTCTGCCCGAACCTCACTATCCGCCGTTCCGTCCAGCTACAGCCTCACAGGCGTGGCGTGGCCCTGGGGCCAGAAGCCACCAGGGCAGTGGGGACCGACAT